TTCTCGCACCCTGAAGATCCTGCTCCCTAGATTTTTAAGCTCGCTTCACGAGCAAAATCTTAATAACCTGCTTACGGTTCATGCCTGCTACAGCAAAAGTGGCAAGTTTTTGCTGGGGTAGGTGGGTTAGGTAGAATATATATTCTGACGCCTCTGTCCACTAGACGCCTGATGGGGAGCCGCAGATGAATGCTCAATATGAGCTTTGAATTTACCTCAGGGCAATGGGTCACTCCTTCTCCAGCTGACCCGGCGTGCGTTACAGCTCCACCAAATTCCCTGTGGTGTTGCGGTCAACGGATACCAGCATGCGCTTTTGTTGACCGTAGCGGTACTCGCACTTGCAATTACTCCGTTCACGTCGCAAAACACATTGCGTGGACGGCACGGACGTGCCGTGGACGGCATTATATATATATATATATATATATAAACCTCTATCTCGATCTTACATAATTTGGTTTCCAAAATAGACATCAATGGGTGACTCAAGATTGCAAACAAAGTTTACTAGTGGGAACGGGGCTTTTAGTAGATTACGATTAACAGAAGTGGAAAACACTCTTTACAACAAATCAGTATCATATAAACAAGAAAACAATATTACATAATAATACACACTCCTAAATGTAGTACATGCTGACTGTCAGCCAGTGGCGGCTCGTGGTCATGCCATTAGGGTGTGGAACATCTCTCTTCTCTTTCCCTTCCTCCCCCTCTCTCTCATACACACAAACACACACATTCACACCCATATACATACATCACATGCATTCATATATACTCATTAACATATACATATAAATATGCACATAAATAATTACAAATGAACACAGAGCGTCTTATGAAGTCTGATAGCATGCTGACCGGCATCTTTTATCGGCAGTGAAGATTGCCCGCATTCCTTTTTACAAACATCTGTTTCGATTTCGCTGGGTAAGGATCCTACCAAAATATTTACTACTTGAGTCGGATTACCGCGTATCTACACAGCACGGTCCAGAAGTGTTTTTCAGGAGTGTTAAGAGTTCTAGGAACACGTTGATTCTATACTTTTTACTCCACTTTTGAAATGAATTGATGCCTTATTTTACGTGACCAGATCTTCGTCTGACGGTGCAAATTTCGCTACGCTGTAGACTATTTTCCATAAGCTCGCTACACAAATTCGACTTAAAGGACAAGTTACTGAATACGCAAAACAATCTAAATAATTTGTCGTCTACTCTGTGTGACAAAACACAAAGTCAATCTCTCTGTTTCTCTCTGTTTCTCTCTCAAAACTGTTTCTTTTCAGCAAGTTTATTGTCACGCTTGACAGAAAAACAAAAATTAACTTCGGTTTTTCAAAACACATTAAAAACAGTAGCCAACTTTGTATGTTTACAAAATGCATTCTGGTTTTCATTAATTTGAAATGTATTTGTTATTGCGACTCACTTCAAATTTAAGAGAATGTGCATATAATATTAAATTAACACAATTCGTATGAAAGCATCACTGCACAGCAATGCGTTGGCGTTTCGCGCGTTAGCGAATACCTGTTTTATTGGAAGGGATGAGAGCTCTTTTCAGTAGAGAGATATCTCACTCTGCACTCGTTCAATGTCAAACGTTCTACAAACTTGTGATAGCTCAGTGTTATATCTTCGAGACATGTCAAGGCACTCGTTGAGATCGCCGCTGCGCAGACGCAGTGGCGATCGTCGAATGCTCCTTTCGTCCATAAAGCCACAGTTGTTCCCTCTTTCCTCACCAGCCCCGCGGTAGCCATCAGCCACCCGGCAGCTCTATTCGTTTGCAATTCCCAAGTGTACGCCGGCTGCCTTCCATGAACGGCACGGACGGCGGATTGTTAATTGCTGCTTCCCAACGGCGCGTTTTGAAATTCCATGTTTCGGAAACACTGAGAGGACTTGTAGTCCCCTCTTGTTTAGAGATATTTAAGAGAAAATGCAGTGAATGAATTTGGGTGTGTTCATGCGATCGTGCGAATAGGGACGAGCCGCCACCCACTGCTGCAAGCACAAATATATTATACAAATATATGGATGACCTATTCATTGTTAGGCATATATATAGTGACGAACGCTGGTTCCAATACATTCATTCGTCATGAACACGGTAAAAGCGAGCGCAGCGGCAGTCACCAAAGGCCGGGCCGGGTATCAGTTGATCGTAACGCCAATGCAAACTTCGTACTTCGAGCTGTTTCGTACGCCGGGTCAGCTAGGGAAAGGGAAATGACGTATTTCCACCTGTACAAGGAGGGCGGCAGGATAAATACAGAGGACTGCTGCACGCGAGCTTCTTCTTGTCTGAATCACCGCAAGAGCAGAATCTCGTTTCAATAGCCACGCGAGTTGTTTAGTAAGAAAGACGTCGTTGTTAATGTATGTAGAGAGAAAGAAAGTTACGAGTATTGATTTGTGAGTTTAATGAGTCGAGAGAAACATTGGGAGAATCAGTTAGTTCGCTTTTTTGCGAAATTTATTTAAGGTGAGTTACGTAGGATACGCGTCAAAGATTACTTGCGCTGAGAAGAACGTCTGAACAAACTATCAGTTTCGTGTAAAGTGGCGGAGAGTAGAAAGTGCTGTAGGTACTTCAGAACTATGTAAAAAACGAAATAAATTTCACCATTTGCGGTGCACATGAAACTTTCGCACGCGAGCGTTCACAAAGCGAACGAGAAGAGGGAAGCAGACGTGGACGGGACCGGCACCTCTCAAGAGAGAAGCAGATGGAAGACGTCGAGGAAAGGGTCGCGAGGCGGAAGAGGACGAACTTCGGAGGGAAGCGCAGATCGCTGATGGAGAGGCCACTATGTTCTGCTGGGAAGACGAGCGAGGCGTTCGGACGGACGCTCCGCCGGATGGGCATGGGCTAGCGCTGCCGAGGCCGGACAAAGTCGCGTCCGCGACGCGAGGACTGAACTGCCGCGAAAGGTAACGAAGCGAAATTTATTGGAGGGCCGGTGCAGGTCCACGATCGCTGGGGCTCGCCATTCAAGAGGCCGTAGCGCTCCGAATTCAGACCAGGCGACGTAAAGATTAAGTTTGAGAAACGGGGAATGTTTCTGGATAGTTGCAAGCTGTTTAAGAACGCTAGCCATGAATTAGTTCTTAAGGTATCTACATTTGAATAGCAAAATCTGTTAGAATTTTCTTTTATAGATAATTTAAGAGTTGTTTGAAACAGTTTGTGTAAATTTATCATGTGATTTCGTTGAGCGTGTTTCGTGTTATGATTAAACACGTTGAATGCTATTGGTTTATTTTTTTATGTTTTATATTACGTTATTATTCATTGGTTTATTTTTTAGAATTCACTAGTGTATAGTATTTTGTTGTTATTTAATTGAATTTAAATCATTCAAAGCATCTCTTGACGGTAGTTTCGATCGTAACGACCTAATCGAGCTAATGTAAATAAAAAGTATTATGTCACAAGAATTACGTATTTCAAAGCATATTGTAGAAATGATGAGTAATGTTCGTATTTCAAAGCTCGTTATGAGTATTCGTCTGCGATTCCTCATCAGGCGTCTGATGTACACTAGGCGGGGGTGTGTGCATATATATAATATATATACACACACACACACTGGCGGAAAAGTATTGCAATATTGGAAAGGGAACGAGCAATCAAGTATGCGATAAGGGTCGTTAGATATGGAGCTCCTAGGAGCCATTAACATTTTACGGATGACTTACACACGGTGACGTAATGACGTAACAAAATGACCCGGTCCGGACAATCCATAGCATTTTAATAACCATTAAAACAAGGATTTCTTCTATTCATTACTTATATACTATGTAAGTATAATATAAATTATACAGAGAGTTATGAGAATGTTATGTTAAGAAATTAGATTTTTCATGATATTATAAAAATATTTTACCTCGTGACCAAATGTGCCAAAACTCTTTGTTACTTTAGATTTGTGAGTAGTACTCTCTTCTTTAAACCGTTTCTCGGATATGAAATATGAATGAAAACCTAATGGTTGTAAAAATTCTGCTGGGAAAATAAGTTCGTTTACAGCAGGGCTTACTCTTCCTGGTATTTTTAAAACAGAATCCGGTATTGGTACCACTTGATTAACAACATTGTCTCCTGAAGGAAAAAAAAGTATTTTATTACATATATTTCTTCCCTACTTATAATTTGAACTACTTTATTCATGAGTAATATTAGCTGCACATTCCACTCCTTTTTATTAATAAGTTTAGTCAGATATTGTTAAGATATATTAAATGATCTAGTGAAATAAGAATCAACAAAAGAAAAATGCGTCTACGTTTTCAAGACGTAATGATAAATGACATTTTGTGAAATCGATAAAAGATATATTTAACATTACTGTACTTACCAGCTGAATCCTGAACATAATAATAATCCCCAGAAACTGGAATGCGCACGTAAGATGAAATCGCATGTGCCAATGGGTTATATACAGTAACAACAAAGTTTTCGGACTCTTCAGTTGGAGAACATCGACTCTCGTTAAGATGCAGGCAGGTCTCCCATAAAGGAACAGTGGAAGTCTCTTTTTCTACCATTAACTTTCTGTAGATTCAAATAAATAATAAGTACTTAATTTGAAATTATGACAGGCTGTTCGTCCGTTCATCCCTTTCAAAACAAACAATAAAGTGTTAGTGTAATTATTCTTCAAAGATAGTTTTTATAATAGTTCGCAGTACGACCCAATTTTCTGGCCAGACGAGGAATATTTCCAAAGTCGAACATTAGTTTAACATTTTAATGTAAATGCACAAAAATTGTGGATATGGTGTGTATTCTCCTTCATATGAACCTTTAGGTTAAATATTCATTTGATTTTCATTCATTGAATTTCCAAAAATAGCAAAAGGGGAAGATAATGCTAGAAAATATCTACTGATTTAGCATCACTACTTTAAAAACATATAGCAGAATTTTAAATTTCTTGACTGTGAACAGTAAATTTTAACTTCTCAGGAATGAAACACAACGATGCGGTGCTTCTGATTGGGAAGACTTGGGCTTCGAGTCCCAATAATGGGAGGATTTTCGACTCAGGCTCTAGGTCAAGTTAAGCCGTCGAGGAGATTTCGATCCGCCGGCTACTCTGATCGATAGTTTCCGTGATTTATCCGATTAACACCAGGCGAATGGCGGAGCAATATCCTAACAAACGGGCCACGGACCGAGTGCGTTCTTTCTTTCCTCTTCCGTGTCCTATCCGCTTAATCCCAGTTAACTTTTAAACCCAGCTTTCTTAATCCCAGTTATACTTTTATGCATTGCACTACCACACATATCGACAGACCACTCGGGAGCCTAGAGCTTGTTCCGGCTGGGGCGGGGCCCCGCTGGGAGGAAAACTACGCAAGCCAACATGTAGTCCGGCTTCGGATCTCGCTATCTAGCGAGCGAATTCCGTTCTCTCATCGATCTGGCTGTTGTTTCAACCCCTGAAATTTTAAACCGATAATTTAATTTTTGGGAGTAATTTAAATGTAACGTCTGTGTCAGTCTAAAATATTAAAAACAGGCACTAAATTATTCGATTAAATTCTGTTGTTGGCTAGCGTATTGGACGCTTAAGAGAATGACGCAGGTGCAATGTTCGTTAAAGTTCCTGCACTTTTTTAAAAATTGTAAAAATATAATTTTCTTCGGCGTCTTCCTACAACTTAAATATTGAAGACAGATTTTTACTTTCCCGTATACGTACGTATATACGGTATTAGTGTACGTAATGAAGGGAAAGTTATGTAATGCTGCAAAAAAATTGATTTCGAGATTTCAACGGAAATACGTTTTGGGGTCCCTGATACCGCAAAAGTAGGTTTTTCAAAATGTCCGAATGTCTGTCCGTTCATCCACCCGTCTGTGAACACAACTAGCGCCTAAACCAGGCATAGGCGCATCTTTGAGATTTTGAAAAAATCCCTTAAAATTTGGGTGTACTTTACATCAAACTTCTGGGACGTTTTCAAAATTTTCTCAAAAATGTCTCCAATCTTTTTCTTTAAATTTCTTGTAAGAATAGAGTAAATACACTTTTAAATGTCGCATAAATACAATTTTCACTGATAACTAAATTTTTGAAAATTTTAAAGTTTCAATTTTCTTCAAAACAGGCGTCTTTCTGCAACTACAAATATATGTGCCATTTTATAAAAATTACAACAACATATTTTGTTCAAAACAGCTTCAAATTTTTTCTTCAAAATTTTCGAATGGATAGTGGTAATTTCATTCTTTAATATGACGTAATGTTCATTTCGGGGTATTTTTTTCCAAAAATTACACAAATAATTTTTTTAAAGACGCCGTTAATATGCCAGCTATTTGTAAACACTATAGTATTTGAGATTTAAAGTGATTCGAATAAAGTTTTGCGAAAACTCAAAAGTTTTCTCGAAGATGTGCTTCAAATTTCGTATTTACAGTAGCGCTTAAGCGCCATTTTGTTAAAAAACTGTTGTAAATTTTTCAATTAAAAATGCAATTTACTGTGAATAATTTTTCGAAAATTTGAGTAGTTTTCTCTTAATTTTGTTTGTAATATAGACAATTTAATTAAAAAAAATTTTCGTAAAACGGCTCCAAATTTCTTTATTAAATTTTGATCTTAGATAGGAAAAGAGAATTGTGGTGTTCTCATGGTTGTTGAAATACCCTATTTTTCGAAAATTATAAAACATTTTTGATTTCGTTGAATTGGTCGTTTTCAAGTAATATCTGAGGTGCAAGTTGCGCAGAAATTGCAAAATTTCATTTTTACATAACTTTTTGTATTAATGCGAGAAAGTATGTGCTGTTGTACGGCATTAGTTTTTCAAATGGTATTTGCCTGACACTTCGAAAGTCAGATACAGCCATACTGTACAAGTACACAAGTATTTTTGAAACTATTTTTAATCTCGTCCTCATGTGAAAAAATGTATTTTACAAAATAAACTTCACTCTAAATACTTAAATAATATTTTAGCAAAACGTTTATTCATGACATAGAAATAATTCCTTCTAGCTTTAATATAAGATAAAAGATGTAATTTTTTAAGCACAATTGTGACGCATGTTAAATGTTTAAAAATAAGTGCGCGTTGTTTACTTCGAAAAACGTCATATTTCTGGAGGAAGTGGGATTATGGACCAAAGAAAAAAATACCATTTTCAATTTTAAATTCTAGATCTTATAAAGAGAAGTTTCAGTTTGCTGCAAAGTGATGATGTTTTACGATCGTACTATTTGACTTGCAATGCCCTTTATTATCTTTCCGGCATAACATGAAACGTCACGATTTTATTCATCAAATAAATCCCATTTTGTGATGAAAGAATATTTTATGTAAGTACTTATATCTAAGACAAATGGTAATTAGTTCAATATGCCTTTTTTTGTTATGAACTTGTGTAGCACAAATTAATAAAAATTAACTTGAAAATATCCGCCGGAGGCGCCTCGCCAAGCTAATACATACCCAATTGCAGTACTGGAAATATTGGAACACTTGTGCATCGCTTCCGAGAGCATATGAGTGTAGTTATTAACCACCTTTTGTTTTGAAGTGCCTGTTATGGCATCGTGATGCTGCATAATACCCATTGCTTCTCTCAAAGAGTTAAGGCTCACCTCATTTTCGGACTCAAGGTTTGAAAGTGCATAAAGCTGCTTGGACACCTAAAAATAAAAATAAAAAGTTTGTGTCATCACTTTTCTATTGTTTTTGTTTTACGTTTGCTAAATTTGAATGATTATATTTCTGAGAAAGAGATTCGATGTAGACCATGGTCCCATGACAGAAACAATTATGGGTCAAAAATAGTTTTAATAAATAAATGAAAATATCACTGTTGTGCTTACAAAGAATAATTTGCAAATTAGCATGAATTGAAATATTTTTATCCAAAACGTACCTGCAAGAAATTATTGCCAAGACGTTCAAAATACTTAAGAGTGGGCCGAAATGAATAATATCCTGTCCAATATACGTGGGGCTCACTAGCGTACGGAAAGAAATCTCCGGTTTTTACACCCCAAGTAAGATTTTCATTATGAACTGCCTTAAGATAACAAGAAGGAGTCGAATAGAGGACATTCACAGCACTTGAGCTGCTTTGTAGAGCATTCGTGTGTCTGAAAAAAACCCACAAATTAGTAATTTAATTAGCTGTTATATTTATTTTCAAAATTTTGGAAGTGGTTTTAAGATAATGGCATTGTTTGATTGTTTTCAAATGCTTCTGTTGCCGAATGGAAACTTTTATGAATTCATTTGTATTTGACTCGTGACTTGAAATGTTGACCTACTAGAAACTTTCAAATCACAGATCAATACAATTCGCGCCCGTAACACACAACATTTTAGGTTTAATATGTATAACCATAAAAAAGGCCACGCTTCACGATGTGTACCATAGATATTGTCCAGCAACACCAGTATTGCCATTCCTGAAACATAAAAACAGTTACCGGTGTACTAGCGTGCTGAGCTACCTATTACTCCCGCATGCATTATCTCCGCTCGTTTCCTGCTTATACCTCAGATATTTCCCTGCAGGTTCTCTATAAGATCCCCTACTAAATCCCTCCCCTTCCGGATGAAACGCGAAGTTGTAAATAACTAAGAAGAGTGAAACTTTAAAAAAAAAGTGATAGTAGGGCAATATCGAGCAAAATAAGAGCTTCTATTGGCTGTGCGACATTCCAGTTTACTATTGGTTGGATGTGAGAATCGATTTCGAGGTATACTTTGTCCATGGCCCGTATGACGTTAGTTCGTCTATCGACTTCGCATCTATTTCGAACCTCGATTTCCAGTTAACGTACTGTCATTGGATCGTTTCTTATCTTATTTAAGCATAAAAACAGAAGCTTGAAGCTTGCTAGCTTTTGAGTGAACGTCTTACGTGCTATGCTTATGCGAGCGCATTGTGAGTGAGTCCGCTGGACGTAGTCCCAACTTTTATGTTAACGCCATGCTTATGTTTATGTTAGCATTGTGAATGGGCCTTAAGCGTGGCGCACGTGCAAAAGAGGCGCCGCCGCGTTGCTTTTCGGGGCAAACGAAAGTTACAAGTGCGGGCTTGAATATGTGGGCTCAGAAGTGGGCGTTCACGTCAAACCGATCGGATCGGGCTGTGCGAGAAGACGGGCATCGTGGGACCTCATGGGAAACATTGCGGCGGTCGGCGCGTCATAGCTAGAGAAAGAGGTCACCAACAGCCGCCTCGCTTTTTTATATATCCCGCACTTTGCATCCAGTGCCAAACACACTGCGCGACGACGCACCGGCCAAAACTGTTCTTCAGCTCAAGAAAGGGTATTTCAAAGGCCACCGCGATGCAGCCATTGACCGACGGATGAAGGGGAGCGCTCAGGATTCGCGAAGTCAAATTGTTTATGCAATTAGTTTATAATGTTAAGCTTTATTGCATGTTTTGAAAACGAGCGGCATTTGGAGCGAGTTTTAAAATTTGACGAATGCAATAAAGCAATATTATAAACGAGTTGTATTCGCTATTTCTTTGTGTAACAGCAATATAAATTTAGAAGAGAATCATAAATTTTGGGGAACAACTTTCTTGTGACGTCCCGGGTATTTGACATTTCTGAGTGAAAACTGTAGTCGGCTCTTCCGTTTACCTCTACCTCCGCACGATTCTCTCGCTCCAATTGGTTGAATGTGTGATGACTCAATCATTCATTCGTAAGCCCAATGCCAGATTCTGAAAGAACATATTTGAACAAAGCTGGACATTAAATACATGATGTATGAAATACATTTCAACACACTATTTTTAAAACAGTTTACAACCTCGGTGACGCCACATTTTAGTAGTCATAACGATAGTCAAAAAGTAAGATTTAGAAATACGAAAGCGTAATTGATATTTGATTGCAGTGATAATGAAGTGAGGGAGAAATTTAGAGCACCAAGAAATGTATATTTCTACCTACTTGATAAGCTTATCCAGGTTACTGAACCATACTTCTGCATCCCTATATATGAAGTCACCTCCCATTGTCATAATCAAGTGGTTAGTGTCATAGAATTCAGCTTGATGTTCAACACGTTGCAGGAAATGTTTGACCTTAAAATGAATATAATTATTGTTACAAAGGGACAATGTCACATTAATTTTATTATTTTATCATCATTATAAATTTGCTGTTAACATATGTTAAGAAAATACCTATAAGATTACCGCTGGTAATGTTTTGGAAACTTACCCTTTCTGGTACGTTGTAATTTCTATCAGTCATGTCATCAACTATGGGATCGTCATTACATAGGTTGTCAAAACAGAAGCCTTGTGGGGGCCCATATTGATTATAAAGAATGTGAGTAAACATGTCGCCAATTAAACCTGTAACACGGTTGAAATTTTATTCTAAGAGACGAGAAGATAAGAATTTTTATTCTATAATGCAATACATTGTTTTTCAAATTAGTGTTTAATGAGACTGGAAAAACTAATTAAGATACAATTAATCTTAAAACTATAAAATTAATTTTATAGTAAGATAACATATTTTATAATTTATTTGCTTCCTTTTTTTTTTGAAAAAAAGAGGAGACTAACCATGCATTCTTAAACAAATCAAGCACCCCCACAATACATCGTTATTTTATCTCTGTACTCATGCCTGGGAACTCCTGCCCTTGTAATTTTTCCACCGCATATCTTTAGAGGACACAGCCGTGACTGGCACATCGAAACAGCAGACGATACGAGCGTCAGATAATAATCTGCTGTTTCTGTGATTTTCCTATTCCTATCTCCTGACGGACGGGTACGCGGCTCAAAGGCTGAAATTCTTTGGGGTGTGTTAAGCATGACAGGGTGGGATGGGTTGGAATATGAGCGGACAAACAAACTGTTTCTGCTATTCTCTTCAGAATGTTTTAGAACCGAAACTGTGATATTGAAGTTTATGAGGGAAGCTGTGGCTGTTTTACTGATTTGTTAACAGCATTGTAACAATAATTATTATTTAATAAAAGCCCACTCCGAAAGATACCCCGTTAAGTATCATCGCCAAGTTATTATTATTATTATTATTATTATTATTTAAACTTAATTTCAACACAATTGTTGCTCGAAGGTTTGAAGCCTGGAAATTAATCTAATAAGAAATATTCATTTCCTAATCTTAAATAATTAATAATTTTTTAAAAATATTTCTCCTTAAAATGAAATTGTGAACGATTTTTTTCTAAACGTGACTTCCTACGAAGGTGATTGAAGTAAGAAAGAATGGCTGCCCAAGGGTAAAATAAATGCTTCTTCTTCCAACTAAAATAGCCGCATTCCCCGATCCCGAAACCCGACTTCACACGACTGTCGAAGGGTAACTAAAAGTTAAAGGTATAACAAAATTATTTGACGTAGCTACCAAATTGCCAAAACAAGAGCAGGTGCTCCCAGATCCGGTGATTTGTGAGTAAAAATTAAGACTCTGTATATAATTCGCCACGGAAAGATGGCGGATTTTCACAGTTTATGAGAAACCTTGGACAGAAAATCCCATAAGACTATTACTGATGCATAAAGAATTATCTCTCTCCCGATTTAACGGAGATTTGAGATGAGAAACAGAAGTTTGCAAATGATGGCGTATGTCGATGAATCTGACTCATAAGCAACTCACTAAGCACACTACGTTTCAACACTATTCCATCGTGCATAACTCGGAAACGGCACGCCTTAAGAGATACCTATAAAGAAAGCATTGAACTGCTGCGAGAAAACACATGACACATTTTTGGAATAATTGTTATTTATGACACGAGTGATAAATGTGACATTTTATTTTGCTAGTAAGAACAGCCGTGGCTCAAAAAGGCCAAGTGGAGCAATACTGCTGGCAAATAAAAGCACTTTAACCACGTTTGTCATATGTAACTTTTAGACAGATTTATTAGCTTTCGTTCTTTTTTAATTCAAGTATACTAATCTCTTAATTATGCAGTAAGGTCAGCGGTAGGTTATATAGTCAGACGAAAGTATTATGTTTCCTTTCTGGCCTTCTTAGATTTTGCTGATCAATTTAGCATCGTCTCACTTTTATCACTAGTGCTAAAAATTGAACTTTTAGCATGTTACTGATGTCCTGATAGAACAGCTTTTACGAGTAGCTGTCTAAATAAAGTCTTATTGCCGGGACCTGATAACGAAAAATTGGACAAAACTTTGTAAAACAAAGTTGAATCTTGTTTGGGTCAGGGCCACGCTAGATGCCAAGTCTAACTGGAAGGAAAACATTTCAATTTGGATAGTAACTTGGGATTCTTCTCAAACTAATGCAGGTTCAAGAGCTCATTGAGGTGGGAAATGAACTCTAAAGAAATATTCAATCTTATGGCCCAATTGAACGAGACCTATGCCAAGTTAGAAGAGATTTTGGGCGGTTCCTCTGCACACCGCTAGGAAGCGCTACTCTTATGCTAGCTAGCTTGCAATGCTGGCTTGTTCAAGAACGAGCCAGCGCTTTTGGCAAAGTTCATTAGAACGGGTATAGTGTCGATCAACAGCCCCGTTACAGGGATAAGGTGAAGGACCTGTACAAATCCACCTGGGGTAACACGCCCCAAATTCGACTTTTCTATTTAAGAGAGGGTGATAAATTGTCGACAAGTGAAATGGACTCAGACACAATTCTATACGTGGTGCAAGTTGCCGAAATTAAAAGTCGTGTGGCTGCAATGAAAAATGCCACAGCTCGACGACCAGAGAAGATAAACGTTAGCCACATCTTGAGGAGCAAAAATTACAATATTATCCCAATTGTACACCCACATTTTATATTTTTTGTGCCTTCTGGGTGGAAAGCTGATCGCACCATCCTTGTACCAAAAGAGGGTAAGGATAATAAGTTTGTCACTAACTGATTTGCTCTGATTAACTTCCTTGTCCCATTCATAGCCTCATCACAATTAGTTCTCTTCTGTGCAGAATCTTTTGGGGCGTTATGGACAAACGCATTCGTGTTGAAGTTCAGTCCACGCCAAAAAGGGTTTATCCCTGAAACTGGCTGTTTCACTAATGTTCAAATTCTTCACGAACCATTCTGTGGTATTAAAAAAACAGAGGGTGGTGTCGGTGATTCGGTAGGCTCTGACAAGGATAGGCATACCTAACGCCTTTACCAATTTCGTAATGGACTCCTTCGCCAATGTTCCACCGTCATTCAGCACCCCTCGAAAGGAATTGAGGTGCCAATTTGTAGAAGAGTAAAACAGAGGGAGCCCTTGCCTCTACTTCTTCTTAATCTCATCATGGAGTGCCTGCTTGAGAAACTGGAAAACATGTCATGATACACGCTATTGGAAAGAAGTATATCCGTGTTCGCATTTGCTGACGATCTGGTGCTGTTAGCAAAATATGTACTAAGAGTTCAAGAATTGGTTTATATTCTGGTGGAATATCTTGGGGCCCTCGGAATGATATTGTCGCGAAAATTTCATAATTTCAAATTAAAACCTTTGAACGATCCTGGTACATTGAGAACCCCTGTTTGGAAAGATTGGGGGAGAGAATTCCTCTGGTGAGTAGTGATCATACACTAACATACCTGGGAGTGAACTACTCTATCTGGAACGACTACCAATCTAAAGCATCCATATCGAATTTAATGGAGGCAGTGGCGATGCTTCAGAAGGCGCATTTAAAGTTCACTCAGAAGTTGGCATTACTTCATACCTACACAATTTCACATTAAATTTATAGGTTAGTTTTATCCATGCCATCTACGTATGTCTATGCTCAGGGAATCAAACATTTAAATCAGAGTGGAAGTCAAACAGTTCCAACATCTGCATATGAGTACTGCATATAGCTTATTCTACCTGACAAGAGAGATGAAGGATTGGGATTGCTGCGGCTTGCCAACAGGGTAGCTCCGAATCCAGAATTACAATTAGAAAAATCTGCAGATCCAATTTGCAGATGGTTGAGCTCCTATCCGAGTTTCTACCAAGGGGTATTAAAGACCGACAAACCACCGAGACTCAGCTGGCCCTATTCGGAACAAGATTTAAAGGCTTATAAGAAGAAATGCGCCAATGACGAGGTAGCCGCCGGGATTTCAAGGGGAGTGGTTAAGGCGCAATAAACGATATTGGAATTTTGAAACATTATAATCTTCTGAAACTTTGTCTTCTTATCACTGCACTCCAATTGAGATCAAATACTCTTAGTAGAAAAATAGTCTTCCTAGAGGAAGCCCACTATCCCCCTCATAGGGACACATATTATTCTTTATACTAGACACTGTCACACTTGCGGGATCTTTGGTCTGTGACCAACGGACTAACAGGGACTTCCGCGTCAATACACATACATGAAATACAACGGACAAACAACCATTACCTCGGCGGGATACAAACCCGAGTCCCTTTCAAACGAGGCGCTGAGTCGGCGCACGTTATCTGCCGCTGAACATATCGCATATATTGCACATATCTGATTCCTGTACATACTGTATTCTATGTTGTAATATTCTATGTTTGCATTTAAGCAAAAGTAAATAGAATATGTTGCGCACTGGCTTACCACAAATCCACACCATTTCTGTTCTTTTCGTGTTGAGAATATTCGCTTTATCCTGATAGTGGACGCGGCTGAGGAACAGTCCGTCGTAGCCCATCTGCGCCAAGATGGCGGCCATCTCCCGCGAGTGGCCGAAGGGTTCGGTCTGCCAGCCCACGCGCGGCCGCCCGCACTCGCCGAAGGTGTCATTGAGGTGCCTGGAAAAATAAGACGGAGACAATCTCCTGTGCGTGGTTGAAGGGGTCGATCTGCCAGCCCACTCGCGGCCACCCGCACTCGCCGAAGGGGTCGTTTATATCAGTAAAGCTCCCAACGTCGTTAGTTTGTAAAACGATGTACTCGTGCAATAAAGCTTAAAATTATAAACTAATTGCATAAATTACTATTACTTTACGTGAAAAACAATTAGAAACTGTGACACGTGCTATTGGGGGAAGTGTATTTGCACTGTACACGTTTTCTTAATTCCGAGAACCTTCCCTAAGCTATATACATGTTGAATTCTGAATACAGAAGGAACTGAGCATTTTGGCAAGAATTAATAAGAAAACATGTAATAAGATCTATTTTCGAAGCAAAATCCGCTATATATTTTTCCCCTTAGAATATGAAGAACGATAATTTGAATAACTAATGTACCCACGAAACTCTAGAAGGATCAGGGCAAGTGGACAAATACCTGATCAAAATGGTGTTATGTCCGCATGTTCCCTTGCATTCCCCCAGCAGGTTTCTCGTCGGTTTCCCTCCATGTATCCGTTTGTGGATTCCCTCATCTACCCCTGCCTGTACCTTCGCGGTTTCCATCATGTACC